AAGGACAAAAACAGAAAAAAAAGATTAAAATAATCAAAGAGAACATTTGAAATTTGTTTTACAATATGTGTTAATTTGCAGCTCTAAGGGGCTTTACCGTTGGCAGCCTCAATGACCTCAGCCTGGGTGAGGCTCAGCCGCTCCACTTTGGTGCTCGCTGACTTCCTACAACAAAGTGGACACAGAACACAATCAGCTTTTTAAAACAGGAAGCTCTATGAGCGTCGCCCAACGCTGACTGTTGTAATTCGCATTACTTGACCTCTAAAACATTGACTTTTGATCAAAACAAGAGCAATGCTACTCACACTGACAGCACGCCAGTTGCTCTTCTCTTAGATCGAAAGATACGTCTTTTAAAGGCGATAACAAGGATCAACACCAGTATGAGCAGAATGCATACGACTGCGATAAGACCTTTCTTCCAGCCAGCTATCGTCACTGTAGAATGAATGAAATGTATGAATGGGTCTGTATTACATTATAATTTAAAAACAGCATTCAAACGTTACTCATAAAGCTGAAACATTTTGGCTTAAAGTATATGATCATTTCATTTAATCATATCACATTTCAGTTAAAAAGTTTATGAAATCCATATTTCATGACCACTTGTTGACTTTAGATAATTTTACATGTGATCACACAAATATCTTCACTTTCCAAAGAAAACCTATGTATCTAAAACTCCGAATGTACCTCACAAAAACAGACACACACACACACGCACTACCTTCATCACCACAGGTAAGTGAAGATAAAACACACCTCCAATCACGACAGTGTGACTCTGCTTGGTTTCGTTGGCTGGGTTGGTGCTCACACAGTAGTATCCCCCTGCGTGCTCCTGTCTGACACTGCCGAGGTTCAAAGATTCTTGCAGCTTCTCGGAGGTCACTGAAGTGAGAACACCCTCCATGTTGTGCCAGGAGAAGCTGATGGGAGGAGTGCCTCTCTGAACAGAGCATACAAGGGTCACGTTCTGCCCTTCAGAGATGCCGGTCATGCTCGGGAGTATGGCCAGCACTGGTTCTGACACAGGCTCTGCAGAGAGTAAACTAGAGAGTGAGACCTGCACTCCACAGTGTTCTTACAGTAGTATGACTGTTTGCATTGCCATTGTTTCTGCATCCAACACACCTATGATGTTGGTTGAACGTTGCAGCGGCGACCCTGATCCTGCCATGGGAGGTCTGTCCTGATTGTTTTTTGCGTGGCAAAGAAACTTGTCTAAGTCTGAGCTCTTGAAGATGGCTGATGAATTAAAGATGGCAGATTCTCCTGGCTTGCTCACCACCCTGCTCTCAAAATGCCCGTTAGGGCTGTACAGGATGTATGTGATGGGCAGAGTACCATTATCACTGTGACAGAGCAGCTGGAAGCGCTTCCCCAACACCAGCGTACCCCCCACCACACTCAGCACAGGTTTGGAGACAGGAACTGGGAGATAAAGACAATTATCACCCAACAATCAGAAACTATGATCATCAGTAACATCAGTGCTAAGAATATACCAATTAGGGCAAAAGTACTATATGTTGCGTTATATTTGACAGACTGAGGCCTGATAGTCCTTTTCTTTACAGGTAAGGAAAAGATACAGATACAATAATAAGTTAGTCAGGGCAACAGAAAAGAGTAAACAGCTAAAGCTGTCTTTACTGTGACAACATGAAACCTCTGTTGAGCTAAGAAACTCCTGTCATCTCCCCAAAACCTCCTAATTAAATGTAATTTCAACGTCATGACTTACCTTTGGTTTTAATAACATGTTTTTGGCTTTCCTTTACAAAACTGTGTGTAAAGGTAGCAGACTGGACTTTACAGGTATAGTTGCCATTTTTATTAGGGTTTGCTGCACTGATGTATGTCGCTGAAGTGCTGACATTGACGTTATCTCTGTAGATGAAGAATCTCAAGCTTTCATTTTTGATCCTCTCAGGAACATAAATAGAGACAGAGCAGGTCAGTTTGAAGACGTCTCCCTCAAATATGTCTACGGGCTCCACAGTCAGCTGGGGCTTTGAAATCAGCTCTGTTGGGGTGGGACAGGAAAAATCAAGCCGTATGAAATCTTTATACAGTGTATTTTTATTCTGAACACAGAAATGGTTTAAGGTTAAGAGGACACTTAATGTCATATAGCACATTTCATTATAAAACACTTGCCTTTGACTGTGATGCTGTGATAGGTTTCTCCCTGCACAGTGCCCCACACTCCCTTGCACACCAGCTCACCAGAATCGCCTTCTTGTACCCTGAATCGATGATTGAGACTGTTTTGGGCACTTTTGAGGATCCTCTTGTGCTTATTAATTAGGAATACTTCAATGTCTGTACGTTGACCCACTACTTGACAAACCACTTCTATTATGTCACCCTCATAGACATCAGAGGAGGGCAGTACGTTCATGACCGGGGAAATGTAGAGTCCTGCAAGACACAACTCAGAACAGTCAGTCACACACCCTTCTTCAAGCAATCCAACCTTCTCTTGGTGACACAGCAACTCATGATCAAATCACCTTTGACTATCACTTGAATCTCATTGCTGCGGTTGGAGCGTTTGGTGCCGGAAGCCAAATGTATCTCATAGTCACAGTACAGGAAGCTGTCCCCAACCCGCCTCAGGACCAGTTTAGTCTCTGATGAGTTCCCAGTGGTTGCTGGCTGCTTTATCGTCTGAGGTTCTCCACTTCTAAATCTCTGGTAAAAGCGGAAAAGGAGGGATCCTTTCTCCTCTGGAGCACTGCAGGTGGCCGTGAACTCCTCACCCATATAGGGACTACTGTTCTCCAAATGCAGTACTGGAATCTGCAGTCCTGAGGAGAGGAAAGCAATGCCATTACGCTACATACTGATAAGTTTGCTTTTGTTGAGAAGTAAACATAACAATAAAAACAATTGCTCATGGCAGAGCAGATTTAAAAACATGTTAGTATGTATATAAAAAAAACTTGTAACCTCCAAAATATAAATGTCATCAGTGGGATGCAACATTTTTCAAGCAAGAAATTACAAAACCTACATGACTGTTTTTACAGTGTCGATGCTGGCCTGCTGTTTGACTATCAAATCTTACAAGTGATATAAAATTACTTGAACAAACCAAGCACACAGCCAAAATATTCACTGTGATTAATAGTTAACTCATGAAAGTTTCAGATGTCTGAAAATGTTTCTACCAAGCCAAGAAATGAGTCTAAAATCCACCGTCACGCTGGGGAAAGCAGTTGGCAGTAATGTGAAGTGTTCATCAACTGGAAAAATACCACTGGCTTCATCCTACGAGTTGAAGCGTCACATAAAATGAGCTGACATATGGATGAGTTTCAAGTATACTATTACATTTTTCATATTACACTAGACTACCAAACAAAAGTCACCAACTGAAACTAAATGTATTGTACCAGCTCCAGTCTTACCTATGATGTAGAGTTTCTGGCTGACGCTGGTTTGGCTCTTGCCCTCGACTGTGACCCGACATTCGTAGTTTCCAGAGTCGTTTGCCCGAGTTGGTCCGAGTTCATACACGGCTGAGTCTGCTGTGGTGGAATTGGAGTAGATGGAAGAATCATCCCGTAGAAACTGGAAAGTGTGCGTCAGGTGTGGGATGTTGTCATGACTGATGGTGACCTGGCAGTGTAGGGTCACCGGCGTCCCGCTCTGAACTGTGTTGTTAGGTAGGATCCTAAGGCCAACTGTATCGATAACGAATACTGTAGGCCGAAAAGTCACACAGACACACAAACGTGCACACAAATTAGAAAGACATCATATAAATTGGGCTGCATGTTGCACTTATGTCAAGCCAACATGAAGGACTGAGCCTGTAATAGTCGGGGACTTTTGTTCTGTTCACAATAACGGCAAAGTCTGGAAGAAAGGGCTTCCCGGCCCGCAGTCTGCTGCACAGTAAGCAGGAGCTGCTGAAGTAAGGAAAAAGCTTCAACAAACAGCATTTGACCTTCTCTTTCCCCTGGGAGAGCCGTGTTGATTTATCCCCGCTTCTGTTCTGCATCGACAACAACACGACGTAACCTGCCTCAGCAGCTGCAGAACATTCACTTCGCCCACATCCTCAGATTGCTGCTGTTAGACCGTCACCAGGCAGTAGAGTGACTGAAAATGACGGGGCTCACTGGCCACTGTAAAAGTAGTACATAGTGGTATGAAGACTGAGAAAGTCCTGCCTTAAAAATAAAAAAAAAGTTTGACAAAATAACCTTAACTCAAGATCCACTAACCTGCTGTTAGATTTCAAGACTGAAAAATGCCCCCAAACACCACAAACTGTGATTATTTACAAACAGTGAAAGATATCAAATAGCTGAACACATGAATCTTTAGATGAATCTTATGTGAGCTGTTTAAATTGTGCCTGTAGCTGAATGAACTGTGAACTCACTGACGCTGAAGGAGAAAGTTGAAGAGGATTTGAAGATTCCATCCATTCACTTTTTTAATATAAAGTTGAGCTGAACAAAAAGCTGAATACTTTAAAAAGTAGAACAGTTTAGGAAAAAAGCTGAATACATGCCATAATGTCCTCTTAGAGCTGAACATTTTGATAACTGAATGGTTTTTATAGCTGACAGTATGCTGAAGTAGTTGAGCGGCAAAAAGCATACGGAAGAAAATATGGCCATAAATATACAGATGCAGGATAACAAGAGTATGAATGCTGCTGAATCAGCTCTCACACAATGAGCATTTCGGTTCAAATTCATGTTGTTTGAAAGCCTTTACAAATTCAAGAAGTTCATCCAAAGTCATGCTGATACAAAAAAGATATCCAGTGTCACTTGCGGCCAGGGGCAGCATGAGCCCAGGACTATTTCCTGCAAAAAATAGCCATTTAAGCTATAAACTGCTTTCTTGTCTAATACAGCTAGATCATCTCAAGCTGTCTCACTACTGGAGAAACTCTGGACCAGTGATCAAACAGGAGTTACATATACACAGTACAGTATAATGCAGGTATACTTACACGACTGTTCGCCGGCACACTGCACTGTGTTTGGAGTAAAGGAAAAAAAAACAGCTGAGGTCAGAATCAGGAGTTTAGGGTTAACTGAAGGAACAAGCTGTATCCTTGATGCAACACAACAGTAGGTCCTTACAGAAGTGCAGCAGGCTGGAGAGAAGCAGCAGCAGCAGCAGGTTGGGGGGTCCGGAGTCCATCCCGAGTGATGGTGGTTCACTACTGTAAGATGAAAATACAGCTGCAGAGAGCCGACAAAACAGGGAGCACAAAGGCAGTCAGAAGGCCAAGGGAGGGCCGTAGGAAGGGAGAGGTGGAGTGTGTAGACGATAAACTCTTGGTGTTTTAGGCCATGGCGGGGCTGAGGGATGTCATTTGTCTTATCACACACACTTCTTGTGGTGCTTGATGGGCCAGGAAATGGTTGTTACTTCCTCTCTTATCTGTTTGTTTTACTGTGCAAGAAAAGAGAAAGCAGTAGTAATCAAGGGAGTCTTGAAACTTTAAGTCAGGTCAGGTCAAAAATTTGCCCCAACATCCTCTGACTTTAGACCCTCGAATCTGCAAAAAAATAAAGAAACCTCAGGAAGAGCAAAAGAGGAGGGAACCCTCTTCCAGGACAGACAGATGTTGTGTGTACATGGTAAATCGACATGATAGGTTTACAGTAGTTTGGACAATCAAGATAAAACAATGTGTATATTCTACCATATATGAAGACCGCGTGTAAACAAATATGAGGAACATGATCCTGAAGGACGATTCGCTTCCAGGTGCCTCTAACAGACAAAGGAGTGGTAGGAGGACATACTTCACACCCATTCTGCTTAATCCTCTCTTTAGTGCTCGGTGGAGCCAGTGATTAAAGATACAACTGGAGAGCATGTAGGGATGACTTGTATATGATGTACATGTACAAGAAACATTAAGTGTTTGGGACATTTGGGAAGAAATACACAGCATACGGGAATTCCAGATTAAACCATCACGGCTACACCTTGGGATGTAACCCTTGTCAAACAGAGCAGAGATATGGACAGCTGTGATAGCAGCAGGAGCCTGCATGAAGAGACAAGGGTGATCATAAAACACACCAAGAGGAAAACCTGAACTGGCCCATGTAGCAGACTCCGCCACAGCAGCAGCATATGGCTGAGGAGGAAAAGTGATTTTTTTTTTTTTTTTAATTACTTACTGGGTCATGAAGTATGATTTCATATGGGATTCACTAATGTGATGTAATGTTGTATACGTGCGTATTGTTGTGGTTAAAAGCTGAGCACGTTATGATGAGGATGCCTAATAGGCTAATTTAGTTAGAGCTAACATCCTAATGAGTGATTATGATGTTTAGACATTAAAGTGATGGCTTGATGAAAAGTAATTGTGTTTTCACAAACTGATGTAAAACTAAAAAGGATTGTATGACTAGTGTGTGTTTAACATTTGACCTGAGTTGTGTGTGAAAATGGGAACCTTAGCAGACACAGTCCTCTAAAGGAGGAAGTGTAGGGAGAGATGACTGGGTGAGATGCAAGTGTCTGTAAAGAACTTGAAAAAAGGAGACGACTTAAGTGACCTTGCACTGCTCAAGCCTGTCCACAAGGACATTTTGCTGTGTGTTTAACCAATGAGAAGAGACTTCATTGCTGTGTATTGTAGAAAAGGGTATAAAGACCCTAACCTTTTGACGTTAGACAGCCTTTTTTGAGTGGCTGAGGGTGTCCTTGTCACTATAAACACTGACATGGGGCTTAGACTTGTACTGGAGGTCTAGGCTTGAAGCCCAAGATGGGAAGCCACTAGGCACAAGAGGCAGTGTCTAAAGCCCAAGAAGGTCTGGAAAAAATGGGCAATCAGCTGAAGACACAGGAAAATGTTGAAAAGCTTCAGCCGGCTCCTAGAACTGCTCCTACCCAGACAAGATCCAGAGATCCCCCAGGTCATCATCCTTGGATTTTTGGACAGTGACACAGACGAGACCAATTTCACTTCCTTAAATCCAAGGAGGTTGTGAGCAGTGATTTAGTCGGAACAGAATAGATATGTTGAAATGGGTTGATTATTATCTGTATTGCACATTTTGAACATTTGATATATGTTTTGACCATAGGCAGGTTAGTCTTACCACTTTAATGTGAAGGCCAAGCTGGAGTCCAGAGCCCCTTCAGTTCATCTAACATCTAGCCATTAAAAAAATTCAACTTTAATAGGCAGGCACTGGTGTTGGATGTGGTAGAAATTTGCTTTATCCACTCTCAGATGCATCAATATCTCAGCTGAGAGGCCAGAGGTCTAATCCTTCGTACAGAGAGAGTCTGACCCTGAGCACAGTTAGTGCAGATCTTTTATACAAAATTAGGTGTTGCTTACAAAGATAGGGGCAATACCGGGTGCATCTGGTTCTGTGGTTTGGTCCTTGTTATACAGATATTTGTGCACAATCAACTAAAACAGTTACAAGAAGTGGAAAAGGTTTAATCTGAGTCCATGTCTGTCTAGGGGGTCAGCAGTCACTTCCCTTTATGGAGCTTAACCTGCATCAGCTTCACATATATGGTAAAAATGAAATATAACAATATAACAAACAATAAAAAAAGCTTAACTTGACATTTGACATTTGACATAACAATGGACAGGGCTAGATTAACCTCATAACGAATATTTATGTAATTGTCATGGATGTGTTTCTCATTAAATAAAGGAGCTATGGGTGTTTCTCACAGTATCACTGCTGTGCAATGGTAAAATTCAACACTGGTTTAAACTTTTGTTGTCACAGATGCAAAACTGGTCAAATATTTTAATACTGGGAAAGTGGTTGCATTTGTATTGATGCTGTGCAGTGTCTTGCAACACTCAACTGCAACCACTAAGAGGTGCTGGAGATTAATAGAAAAACGATGCCGGAAAACCCACATGATCTGCTCTGCGGTTTTATCTGCATAGTGATTTGAGTCAATGTCATTTGTGCCACATTTAGAAAACATCAAATGCTTTCAGGCTGGATAGAGGCATGTTTTATCTTTTACAAAGCTGTTACAGAGGTGCTGCTGAGATGAGATCACGGCAGCACAAAGTGCCCTATCTGATCCATGCTTTAACACTGTAAACCAGAAAGCAGCTCAAAAGAATCTGCTCAGGTAATGTCTTAACTGGTAAGTGAATTCATTGTGATTTTACTGTAACATATTGGAATAATTGCTAGTATACACAACAGCACCTAATGCTTGGGTTTGTAAATGCCACAGATTCTAAGGCCCGGAGCATTATGTCCAGAAAAGCGGTTGCTGGTGAACCTAAACACAAACTTCTCTCTGACTTTTGTGGTGTTATGGGAGGTTTGCTGGGTGGTCTTCCAGTGCCAGACATGTCTGTGAAAGGTTTTAGAAAGCTTCTACAAACAGCCCTTTGTATGTAATAACCTAACCTGCTGTGCACGGTTCTGCTACGCCATAATCGGTTCATCCTCTCATCTCCACTGAATTAGCATTTGCTGAAGTGTCATAGAGAGGGTTAAAGTTAAACTGTACAGAGAGTCACACAGGCCTCAGACATACACAGAACCTCAATATTTTCATTTGCCATGCGTACTGACAGGCCCACTCTCCACCCCTCTAGAGAAATCAGCTGAATACATAAGAACCTGTGCTAACAAGCCAAGCACCCTGTTGGAGGGGTGATCTTAGGGTGCGCTGCCCCCTGACTGGCTGAATAACACCTTTTGGCTTGGTGGGCTGTACACTGGTAACGACTTTACGTTTTAACCTAAAATTAGTTTGTTTACTCAACTTGGTTTCAGCTTTGTTTCTCTTGGGTCATAAATGAAGGGACACTGCACATGATATCCTTCTCCATAAGCTGTGGTCGACAGGTCTAAGGACGACCCTTGGGTGGGAGGTTACTCACAGCGATGCCGCCGTGGGAGGGAGAGAGAGGCTGAGGGACAACATGCATATATAAAAAACATCTGAACTGTTTCCATATATCATTTTCTATTACAACTGCAAATAAAAAAGTTAACTTACTTGTAAAAAAGCCTCAGACTGCTGATTGTGCAGTGTACGATGCTGTATTTTCATGGCTGTAAGGTGTGTGTTGCATTCAAGGGAGTGATTGATGGCGGCCATGGTAGTACCATTGACACCGCTGGTTCGCGGTGGGTCCAGGGCTCTGTGTGATTGATGTGTTCACCCTGGGCTCTAAACTGCCAGCACTTCTCTCAGACTGCCAAACAGGCATTGGGTCTGTTGCACAGTGTGAATATGGATCCCAAAGAGTTAAGATGCAGCCACTGCCACGGTGCATCTAGTACGGACCCTCAAACACCTGCAGCACACAGACCAGCCTCAATCAATTTACAGTATTCATGAGGTGTTATATACATTGGTTATAAAAGTCTTCAGCTCATCCTTAAACACAAACAATATGGCCTGTGCTACAGATGAGGTCTACATAAGATTCATGAGTCACATGGGATTCAGTGTGTGTAAAAAGCTTTTAAGAAGTTTCAAACTGAGCATAATGAACTGGGCCAATCTTGGTCTGAATTACATTCTAGTGTAGCACGTTAGCCTGAAAAGGAGGAGAAAATGACGAGATGAGAGGGGAAAAAACTCATTTAGACACCTACTTTATTTAGGCCTTTGGGAAATGTTGCTGGATAATAACACTCCACCGAAAGACATGAGATGGGAAATGTGTTTCTGCTCCGAGGCAGAAATCTTCCGGGCCTAATTACAAGCAATCACCTCGAACTCGAAAGCCTAGAATGTGTGTTCATGCTATTGTGGTTTTAGGGGACACATATATATAAATGGCTAAATGGTTTAATACATCAAATGGGAGGATTTCATGTGGAATCTGGGTGTGGACATTCATCTGCAAAGTGGTTGCCATTTGCAGATCTGTCTGACAGATGTTACAGCCACTCTCCATCTCCTCCCTGGCGTGATGCGTTTTAATAGAGCGCCGTTAGTTGTGTCCCCAGAGAGCTTCAGCACCTCACACCAGTTCAGGTGACCCAGGACTGGGAACCCTGTTGGTGAGGAACAACAAAGAGATGTTTCTGCCTCTGGCACAACAGCCTGCAGGAGGCGGGGAGCGTGCTGCAACAAGGTAAAGCTCAACAAGACCTCACCCACCTGCTCTGCTGAGTACGTTTTGCTTATTTACCAAAACCTTACCTTAAATTCCTACTTTTGATCTTCACCATTCGCTTGTTGCTTTTATTTCCTCTTTTCCCCAATTCTTTTCTTGAAAGTCATGTATTTTTTTCTATCTAGGTCTTACAACTGAATTTCTCTCACTTTCACTTCTCCTTGCTCCACCTACCTCATGTCTGCACAATCAATTATAAATGATCTGAGAGGCTTGGCTGTGACAGGCTCTCTGTCTTTACTTGGGGAGAATCAGACAAAGCGTTGTGGTTCTGGAGCAGCAGCAGCTTTACAGGAGGACACTGAAGCAGATGGACCACGGAGAAAAGTCATGCTCGCTGTTCCGCACTGCAGAACATTAAACAGGGGTCTTTC